TGGAATCGGTGTGGCAGTGGCGTTGCAGCGGGTAGGTTGTGGCGTTTGGTGATGGTGTTGGCGTGGAGTTGATCAGGCACTGGGGCGGCAGAGTAGTTGACGTTGGGTGGTGGAGTCGGATCTGGCACTGGGGCGACGGAAGGAGGTTGGTGTGGTGGTGGGCGGGATCTGGAACTGGGGCCACAGTGGGGATGTGGGTTGATGTTGTGGTAGGTTTTGGCGTTGGTGATGGGGTTTGCGGGGGAGTTGGATCAGGCATTGGAGCAACAGTAGGAGGGAGCGTTGATGTTTATTGTTGATCAGGCACTGGAGCAACAGTGGGAGGAGGTGTTGGATCCGGAACTGTTGCTTCTGACGGAGATTCGGTCTCGGGAACCGGAGAGTCTTCGCCGTATGCGGCCTCCGTTATTGCGGGGACAGAAGTGTTTTCTCCTACAAGAGCTTCGGTATCACAGTTGAAAAAAAGGAGGCCTCGTCTTGTCATGCCAACATTTTGGTCGGCTAATTCCTCTTGGGTTCGGCGGCCGCCAAAGCAAAAGGCCTGTGCTGTGGCGGCAAAGAGAGCCAACAAGAGGTTCGTCTTCATCTTGCTTTCTCAAGCCAAACTAAGATTTGTAGTGGAAGGAAAGCGGATTTTCAAATGAGTGTGTATCACCTTCCTGCAAGCATGCTTCCGTGTGCCTTGAGCTTTTTATTAGTTGGCCGCCATGGACGACGACAACAATGGCAAGCTCTCAAGCGAGACACTGCCTCAAAAAGAAAGGAAATCAGCGATTTCCACACGGGACGCAAGCCATCTTTTCCCGATTCATGTGGAAACAGCATTTTTGGGTTCTACTAAGGTTAGAGCTTTTAGTCCTTTTTCGGCCATACGGTACAGTCGTAGCAGCTCGTACGGAATGATTGAACATTCTCTCCCCTTCGCATATTCTTTTGCCTTCTAGAAGATTCTGGAGTGTCAACGCACGGTGCTACCAGGTACCGGTATCGGTTCCCCCAGGTTTTAGATCGAGGGGTGTGCGTACATACCGCACGAGTAGTAGCGCTAGCTAGCTAGCAGAATCGTCTGCACCCAGCTCACTATTGCAACAGAGGAGCCTGTCTCTATCTCAAAGGGGGTTTAGAGTAGGGGGGTTATCTACGAAGGCCTTTCCTGGCGCAGCTTCGGCTTATTGTTTACAGTTCCTATGAAGAATTGGAACAGGGGCAATCACATCCACAAAAAATAGAGGTACAGTCAAACCCAAGATAACAGGGCTGAGGGTACCACTCTGGCCCATAGGTACAAGACACATTCTGCAAGAAGCATAGCTCCTCTGGGATTGTGCCAGACAAGCCAAGGTTGCCAGTTAGATTCAAAACCTTTAACTCTGTCAGAAGGCCCAATGCAGATGGCACAGGTCCAGTCAACCGATTTCCATCCAAATGCAAGAATGCCACACCAATCAGCTGTCCAAGCTCAGAGGGAATCTGACCAGATATTTGATTTTCCTTCAAATGCAGCCGATCCAAGGCAATGAGTTTTCCAAGCTCTGATGGAAGGGGTCCCGTGAACTGATTTAGAGACGACTTCAAGATAGACATGTTAGTGAGGCTTGCAAGTTCAGAAGGAATTCGCCCAGTGAACTGGTTTCCCCATAATGCCAACCCATGTAAGCCAGTAAGCTGTCCAAGTTCTGAAGGAATCTGGCCTGATAACTGATTTCCAAACAAAGCCAACTGATTCAAAGCAGTGAGATGTCCAATCTCACTTGGGAGTTGGCCAGTCAATTGTTCAATGTAAAAGAACAACCCAGTCAATGCAGTCATCTCATACAATTCTGATGGAATCAGAGATGAAGTTGATGTTGCAATATCATTGAATCCCAACTGAAGGTGGGACAAAGAAGTCAACATGGTGATCTCCGGTGGAATAGAAGTTGTCAAACCAGAAAGCTGGAGGCCTGACAACCAAAGAGATGTAAATTGGCCATGGCTGTTGCATGAAAACTGTGGAGCATAATCCATTTCCAAGTATATTCCTTCATAGAAGAATCCAAATCCATTGGAGAACCAAAAGCACTCATCTACCGTGTCATCCATCCATCGCTCCCTTATGAGAGGTTCCCACTTTTCGCCCTCATATGCATAGAAGAATGTAGCAAGAGCAAACAACTGCTGCTTTCTCCATTCTGGTAGCAATGTGATGTTTTGGTGATTGGCTAGCCATTGCCAAGCTCTCCACTGAGGAGTTTCACTACCATTGCTGATGCTAGCCAAGGTGTGACTGGGAAGATTATCCAACAGCAGGTCCAGAACCCCAGTGGGTGCAGAGGATGGCACACTGGAAGGCTCCGTGGAACCATACACAGTGGGTGATGCTGTTTGGATGGTTTCTGACTTGGGCCTTAGTCCAACTCCCAGACTGATGGCGATAATGACAATAGAACAAACAGCAATGGCAAATCCAGCTCTTTTCCAATTCTTTTCCTTTTCCTCTCTGTCAGCTTGCTGTTCCAATATTGTATGATCCACTTGTTTGGCTTCCTGGAAGACTTGACTTCCAGATTCATCCATGATAGCCGTAGCTCTAACCAGCCCCTGTTCATTCGCAGTGGACAACGGGAGAGTATCAGTGGTTCCCAGAGGATAGTTGATGGCACTTTCATTTCCATTTCCATTATTGTTGATACCCACAAGATCAAAATCAAGGCTCTGAACAAGCTGCATGTTTTCGCCTCTGTAGGCTCCAGGAAGACTTTGTGGCCTTTCTCGACTCAAGATTAAGGGTAACACTGAGACCAGCTCGGTAGGTGAATTTCCTGGTTGGTTTGGCACCATTGCTGGAGGACTATTGTTTGTGTGTGGACTTTGTGCTGCTTGCGGCTGCAAGCCGATGCCGCATGTTGCAATCGAGGCAACAGGTTGTGGCTTTAGTGGACATTTTCCTTGTTCCATGTTCAATTCTGAGGTGCCTGGTCCTCTGGGGTCTGGTTGGGCAGCACAATTCTTGGGTGTCTGATCGTTTTTTGGGTTATTGTCATAATTTGTTGCATTGATGGCTTGATCTGTCTTGAAGCAGCAATCCGTGAGCAGAGGAGCTTGTATTCTACCAGCACCAAAATTTCTTTCCATGCTGCGTCTGGCAGCAAATTTAGCAGCAAATTCTTCATCTGTTTGATGTAGGCTACAGTCCACAGTTGCAACAGGAGGATTTTTGGCACCGCCGGCATTACTTTGTTCGTCTGTTGGATGCTCTGCCATTTTCAGACCAGCTTGTTCCGACCCATTCTCCCTGATTTTTGTTGTTGCTCCATCTTCCTCTTCTTCTGACTTGGCTTCGTTTGTAGCTTGTTGGGATGCATTGGTGCCGGTGGTACTATTATCGGTGGTAGAAAAACCAGCGGGTGTCTTCTTCGCCTCCTCGGCTACTTGAGCTTTTGTGGCATCCGATTCTTCTTCATCTCTGTACTGATGTTGTGTGGTTTCTGTCTCTGTGTGCTTGATAAGGCTGTCCAATACTGCTGACAAGTCAAGATTGTCTGGTGGATTCGCAACATCTCTAGAGCTGCTATCTTGACCATCGCCATGGAGTTCATTGGATCCACCCATCTTCTTGGGAAAGTCGATCAGCCTTTTCTCTCCATCCATCTGCAGCTAGCTAGCTAGCATTAATGGCTGTTGTCTACCGGTATACTGGAGAACTGGGATCGATCGATCCAGCTACCGTAGCTAGATATCTGGGAGGATTACAGTTGCTGGCGGCGTCTCGATCGGGTCTTTACAAAAAGAAAGAGGAGCTGTTCACTTTCGTGTGGTGTTTGCTTGCAATGGTCCTGCACCTGGTGTCTGTCGGCGTCATTGTGAGAGCACAGCCAAACCCTTTGCCCCCCGTAATGGTCCTCAACCTCGGCAGTCTTGCTGCCAGAGCCCTCAACCCCTTTAATTGTTTTTCCTGCTACGGTGGTCCCTGCAGGTATAAGGGTAGGGTTAAAATACAAATAAGTCAGCAAAAACTAAATAAGTATCCTAGGATGGTGCTTTAAACCAGCTAAAGCTATTTACATGCATCCTAGTAGGGGGATCTGCTTCTACCAGGAAAAACTCTAAAGCCAGCGAAAGCTATCATAGATATAACTTGTATTCTAGCTAGCTAGGGGTATCTGCTTCTAGCTTGCTATGAGAATCTGCTTCTAGCTAGGGGGATCTGCTTCTAGCTAGCTAAGCGCAAGTTAAGCACTAGCTAGCTAAGCACTACAGGTATCTGCTTCTAGCTAGCTAGCTAATAGGGGTATCTGCTTCTACACTGAAACCTTTCTGCCGAGGTTACTCAGCTCCGCTGGCTTAATTTCTTGCCCCTGATCCCACAGAACCTAGTCCTGAATTTCGACTGTTCTTTGCTTAAGCCTGGCCCCGGCTGGCTTCCGTGGATAATTTCCCTACTCTAAAACCCCCTATATACTCTTTGTGAGAGCACAGTGATGTCATCAACGTTGCAAAAAACAGCAGCCAGTCCAAATTCCGGCTGCGCATGAGAAATCCGCCCGAAGCCCACCAATAGTCTACTAGCTAGACAAAACAGTAAGGCTGTGAAGAGTCACCCTTATTATTCAATCAGAGTACACTCTCGGTCCAAAATCAAGTTTTCCATGCCCGCCACCCACATACCGGTACCCCTATGATAGTACCGGTATGATAGTAGCTACCGGTTGGTAGGTAGATACGGTACAGTAGCAAGCCAAAGACAACTTGAAGTCTCCGAAACCCAGCCATTACGTAGTGTCTCTTTGGTTTGGGTGTTGTACGGTACGGTGCCATTATTATTAGTGCACTGGAACCCGTTCCGTGGACACTCCTTTGCTTGTTGGTTGATGCAAGGCAGGCAGCATGTGTGTACCGCACAGTATGGTACTCCCTGGGAAAACACTGGTTGATGGCTGCTACATTTTATTTTGCGAATTCTTGGTTGGAAGTCTTGTGCATGCATACTGTACTGTGGTAGAATGAATGAATGAATGAATGAATACTTTCATCGTCTTTCGGCAGGAGAGCGCGAGCTTTGTGCAGTCCTACGGTACAGTACGGTACAGATCCAACACATCATGGTCGCATACCGTGCGGTATCTCACATGGCACCATGCAAATTGCTCGGAACTGAGATTCTAATATATAGTCACAGTCTTTGAATATAAAGTTCGTTCTGAACTGTTGCATTGCATGCAACCATCTAGCTAGCTATTTAGCTAGCTAGAGTCTGACTCGCTAATAGCTAGTAGCTAGCTAGCTAGAGCCCTCATCGTAATCATTTCAGCAATAAATGCCAGGTGTACCGCTTTTCTCAGTCCCACCAGTTGGTGACGTCATTAATAACGGAATTGCCTCCTGGCAGATGGGATCCCAACGGATTGAAAGATTGAGAGCGCAAAGAAGGAGTGCGCTCCCACAAAACCAAAAGAAAGAAAGAATAAATAGAAGGATAAAATAATAGAGAATGAGAACGACCATGATGATGAGAACAAGACTAAGATCGTTGTTGCTTCTAATAGGGTTGGTTTCTATTATGAGTGTGAATGGCTCTTACTCTGGCAGCACGCAAGTAAACATTCATCTACCTGGCAATCTGCACTTGGACGGAGGCTATGATCATTTCATGGGTCACTTTGGCCATGCGGCCATGACACGAGCCGGTCACTACTATACTAGTACTACTAGCAATAGTGACGGCCAATATGGCAGTATGAGTCTGTTTGTGGAATTGGCTCCTTCCGATCTCTGTCATCATCTGACCAACAACTATACGTTACCACGACAACCCAGTTTATTACTCGTCCACAATAGTCCCAATTGTTCCTTTGTCACACAAACACGACGCGCACAGCATTTGGGAGCCGCTGGACTTCTTATTGTCGATAGAGCATGTGTCTGTGAAGAACAAACCAGCGGGTATTGTCAAATGGCAGACGGCGTCGAATGTCATCCCGGCTATACGATAGTCAAAGACGATGGATCCGGCGGCGATGTTTCCATTCCCGCCATCTTGCTCAAACAACAAGATGGATCTCCGCTCGTCTCGAATCTAACGGCCAAAATTCCTGTACTCATGAGTCTCCAATGGCAAGCGACTGTGACCAAAAAAAAACCCAATAATAGCAATAAGAGTGACACCAAGAGCAAATTGCCGTATGGCATGTGGTTGGATTTGCACGATACGCATCATACACCCCAATTGACACAACAAATGCAGCAAGTGGCGCTGGCGGTGGGTGCCAAGACACATTTTTATCCGTCCTACATGTTTTATGATGGCACGCAACTGGCATGTCAAGGCGATACCTGTGCTTCTTCGTGTACTCATCAAGGCAAATATTGTTATCCATCCGCTCATGGCAAACAAGTCGTGCAAGAAATATTGCATCGCCTTTGTATTTGGGAACTCTACGGTGACAATGGGACAGCCGTCGGCGATCAAATGGGACGGCCATGGTGGCAGTACGTGACGTATTTTGATCAGAACTGTGCCGCGCCATTGTACGGATACGACGATGACCAGCAACCAAAAGATGCGGCGGCCGCTGACAAGTGTCGCCAAGAAGCTTATCAACACGCCAGCAGTAGCAATATGGATGGCCACGAAATTCAAGAATGCATCCGGTACAGTGGCGGATTGGATGGTAGTGACAAGAATAATTTATTGGAACGTGAATTGCACGACAAGGAACGCTACGGAATTTACACGACACCCTCCATTTGGGTCAATGGCAAATCGTTGCCGACGTATTGGAGGGCACCGACGGGGGCGGCATTGTTGGAAGCGGTCTGTGTTGGATTTGTGTCCACGGGACGATATACCGCGGAAGCGTGTGACAAGTGTTTGAACGACGACGACAAGTCCAGTAAGAGTGAACAAGAATTGGTGGATTGTGCGCAAAAATATCCCGATCGGTACGATCATCACGGTGGTGACGGCAAGCGTAAAAAGGGCGATCAACACTTTGGAGCTGCCAGTAGAGCATTCAAGGTCGTCTTTTGGTTGGCATCCATCAGTGCCGTCGTGGGAGCACTCTGGTTTGGATACAAGAAACGACTCGAACGACAAGAACAAGATGGACTACTCCAACAGCAACAGCACGGACATTTGCCCGGTGGATTGCTGGTGAATGCACTCGGGGGCAATCTATTGGGAGGTGGTGGTTCGGATCATGGCGGCAACAATAACAATGGCAACAGCGGCAACAACCGCAACAGTCTTCATGGAAGATTGTTGGATCCCATCTTGTCCTACATGCCACTCAATACTACCAACAGCAATGCCGGCAATAATAATGGTGACGACGGAATCAATGGCGTTGTGAGAGAAGAATTCATCACGACATACGAGTAGATCTACTGGTACCGAACATGCATAATAATGAGCCATGCACAATGGATGTATAGATATTTCATACCTTACTTCTCTATTCTGTAGGTATTTTAAAATGTAGCTAGCTTGTGCGTTGCCTCGGTGGTTGCTATGGTGCGGGCGTACCGCAGTACCGAACGGTACGGTACCGGCTTTGATGTCCCTGGAGGAATCACCAAAGCAAAGTGAAGCTGGAATCGAATAAATGGTAGCTTATTGTGAGAAGAAACCATCCGTATGTACGAGCGATGAGTAGACCTCAAAAGGTACTGTACCATTGAGAAGGCAAATCAGAAGCAACACAGAACGCAAGATGTACTGTATAGTTTTAAGTAGCTAATTGTCTGTATGTGTATAGTCGGCTATTTGGAACTGTTTCGCCTCTGCTTGACAAGGTAAATGGAGGATAGCAAAACATGTTGCGTGGTATGCATTACGGAAAGCAGTGTCTCGATCGTCCAAGTTCTCGGAGTGTCAGGCTGGTTGGGAAGCTTCCTTGCATCGACCGATACTACAAGGAAGAAGTAGAGATGGAGGCGGGGGTTCAAGCGATGGGAGCCGCTACGTGGATTCCAGGAACGAGCACGTTCAAAGCCAGCTCTCCAAGTACGTCCTCTCCCAGCATGTCGCCACCCTCAAAAAATGGGAGCATCTTTTCTAGAGCATCCAGCGCCTGCTCGGCATCTACTCGCTGACCCAAAGAAATGACTGTTTGGATCATGTTGTTTTGAGCCAAAACGTGAATGTTGCGAATAATCTGTTTCTCGAATCCATCTTCTTCAACTGCAGTACAGAGTGTTATGCACTGCTGGTAGAGGCTGAAAGCCTTGTTCGTACCCAATTGTCCGCCTCCAAAGTGGTAGACTAGAGCCATGTTCAGCATCGTTACGGCCACACAGTGGGCCATCTGTCCTTGCAACTGAACTCGAGTTGTCCATCTTCCCAATGGATGATGATTCATCCGGTTCCAGACAAGAGTTAGGGGGGTGGCAAACAAATAGAAACAGCCATTGCTGCCCTCCTTCATCAGGGAGAGGTTGGCACCACCTGGACGAACTGCAACCCAAGGGGCAGCAAGATCATCAGTGTCTGTATCAGGTAGCTCTTCAGAAAAGGTCGAAAGGTTGGTCCAGACTTGAAGAGCAAGTCTGAGGCTCTGATAGGCCCCAGCAAAATTGCCAGAACAGAGGAGGTGAACTCCATCATTGTTGTA